TATAAGTTTGTTACATATGATTGATACATTTTCAGTAGTTAATGTGTAAGATACCATTTAATGTTTAAGATACCATCTAATCTGTTTAGAAACGTGTCTTAAGATGCGAGATACAAGTTAACATGTTCGAATTGTATAATGTTTAGTTCAAGGCTTCCATACAGAGCGAACATTGTAGCTAATTCCTTGTTAATTAATTACCTACCTATCATGACAAGTAATTTATCAAAATATTTAAAACATTAAAATATAATGGAAATGAATATAATTTACATTAGGAAATACACCTTTTTAGCAGTTGGTTAATAAGTCCGTGGTGAACAACTGGGCGTCCTGCTTATAAAACGTTGTGGTGGTCCTATTTGTAAGATAATCTTTCAATGCAACAGATGCTTAATATATTACGTAATCAATTTAGGAACAATAAGAGTAATGGGATACTCAGGTATAATGATTGATCTAGATTACATCATAGTTATTTATAACATTGACGAATGCACGTTACATCAAAGTTACATGCAGAATGGGTCAATAATATGTCACAGCTGGAATCGAGATTACAATTTGGGTGGTAATTTTATAAGAGTTACGTCCCTTGGTCCATGACTGTCGCGACTGTCGCTAAACAAGTGTTAGCTTGTAACAGACATTTTACGTTCATAAAGATTAAAACAGTATCAGGTATATGATATTTAGATATAAACATGATTCATAAATGGATGATTCATACTTCATCAACAGGTGCTCGCTTAATGTAACAGTCACGAAACGCTCTCATTTACCATTCCATCTGTTTTAATATTCTATTCATTCAAACCTAGATGGGAAATAACACGCGTTGAAGATCATTTGAAAATATTATAATGATGCTGTTCATTCAAACCCATTTCACGTTGACAAAATTAAGATGACATCCTCTCATCACATTCCGTCGGTCTAACATGGTGTTGATAGGGTGTCTCCAATGAAGGCTGCTGTGACTGATGACGACGAAAGGACACACTCTCCCTGCATCCATTCTCCTTCTTGTACTCCGATCTAATCCTGTTTTAAATTTAAACTCTCGAGTCAGAAACCTATTTAAGAAAACACCGCGGGGCAAAACCATGACAGCTGGCTTATTTTCTACTGTTCTTATCGCCATCACGGATGACCTTTCTCATGACCTTCAGACGATTATTTCAGGCAAAAAAGACGTTTCTAATTTTACCTTGCAACTGATACTCTGAGTTTGTCTGTTTTTATCCCTTACATTCCAGCAATGAAATAGTAGATTCGGGAACACAAACAATGGGTCCAGCTCACTGACACGATAACAATATCTTAGGGTACTCCAATGTCATCTGCATGTTGTTCCACCTATGTAATATATATAAGTGCTATTGTTGGACATATTTATATATATGTGTGTGCGTGTTTTGTGTTTTCAAAATTCAGACATTATATAAGAAATGAGTCATTCTCAGAAAAATAGCTATCATATGTCACAAATCAAAATTAAAACGGAAAACGTGTCTTGTGAAATATGTCTGAGAGCAGTCCTGGTACCGGACAGTGAGGGACTGCTGGTGTGTAGTTGTCAGGTTTGTGTAAATATTCTTACCTATCATTTTTATGAATTAATCACTGCTGTCGTCAATGACACCAAATTCTACACATACTTATTCAGGCACACGAGCGACACACTTAAAATATTATCGAGTTAGCTCGGGGTAAGTTACGGGAATAATAATAATAATAATAAATTCGAGGAATGACAGGTGCGATGACCACCGAGACGATGGACGGAACGAGGTAACGATGTCATGTAACTCATCTATCTAGAATTTGACACATTCTGGGTCAGTTAGTAAGAACCCCTAGAGGTGTGTATATTTTCAATCATATGATGTTTTTATCAATAGTGTTGTATCAATTACTCCGATGACACATGCGTAGGATGATTATAATTTGGCGTCGATGATATCGACACCTCGTGTAGATTTCTCAATACACGCATAGATACGGAGCAAGTTATTGACTGAAATGGACGTGCAATGTTTATCAATGTGAATTTCGAAATAAAAACTCATCCATGAAGTCAGATCGTAAACAGTTTGACGTGATACGGAACTGTTACGCTTGAGTTATCTTTTTTATAAGTAAACAAGCGATCGTCCCTGTTAAATAAATACGTAGTTTTAGTACGTATATGTTGCAATTAACACCAACTGTAGGTAATATGTAGAAATCCCCGATTAGGACCGATGCAATGGATTTTGTCAGTTTATCTCTACAATGTTTGATTATATATGGTTTAACTTAAGAAGGGTTTTCTTTGTCAGGCAGCTTAAATCCCGGGGGTAGTCAGGATTATCTCCGAGTATGAACGGTCAGGAGGTGGGGCAGATGATACCATGGGGTATGGCAGGTGAATATACACCTTACCTGTCAGGTTTTGTTGTTAATTAATTCTGACAATCGTTGAAGATACCACCTACTGTATACAAACCAATTATCTATCTAATACCGGTAACTATGAAAATTTGTCTCACAGACATGACAAAGTTTTTTTTTACCTGCCACCACAGGTGTGCTAGTGTTCATGTTAACATATACAGGTATTACAGTGGTCAACCGTCTTTCCATTATACGACCTGATGGGGTGTCTGTTTCTGACGTACCTGTCATATATTGTTAATAAAACGTGGCTGTATAAATGCTGTCATAAAATATACAATGTTATATTGAAGTCGATGAACATGACATTTTTACATACCCCAATACTTACTGCTAATTACTAAACTAATATTGTGTTCGTTTCATATCGATGTCAATCAATACTGCAATTAAAATCAATTTCTCGTAAATCTTTCAGGTCTTCTAAATTGTTAGGAAAACGACATAGCTGTCACTTTTGTTTTCAATTATTGTCAAAACTCAAAAACTGAGACGAATATCTCAACGTGGACTTTACCTGTACTCCTTTATTGAGCATTCGTTAATTAACATACAGATGTTAATTCACAATTGTTTTATGCCTGATACTAAAATCCAGTGGAGCTTGTAACTACTCTACAGTAAAAACATAGCCTCGTCTCTTTGACCGGAGTGAGATATTGTTATGAAAACATTACGGACTGTAGTGTACACAACGGACAGGTGGAAACTTCCTTACCTGTATAGATAGGTATGGTATGTAAGTCAATGAGTGACATTAAGAAAAGGTGGGTCTATGTTCTCCACAATGGACAAATTTAAATAAATTGAATCATACATGTTATAAATTTGTGTCATTTACGGCGAAACTACTCCTTATAATTTTCCAATAGCTTTGGAAATGAAAACATTGATTTATGTACCAGATGACTAAAAACAAAACATTAATATTCATTTACACAGACATCAACCCTACTGGCTGATTTATACACATTATTATTATTATTGTTTTTGTCAAATTTCCAATCGTCCTGTTTCTAAGAATAAAATGGAAATCCAGGTAGGGTTTTTCTTTAACAACCCACGCACACTGTTTACCTGTAGTGCCTTACTCATCCAGGTGACCTACAATTGCTGGTATCACCTGTCACACACACAACAAGCGAAACAGCGTCATTAAAATCAACAAAGTTTGTCTGCATTGCGAAATGATTTTATTTAATAATTGTCGAAAATAGTTAGAAGTTCACACATCACGAAATGGCCTTAGGTATTATCCGCAACAACTTACGTAATTAGTATATAAAATGAGTAAATAGCGAGATGCTGGTTAAAAATTAACCAAAAAAAATTGACAAGTAATTAAACCTCCCTGGTGTTAATTAATGTGCTAACACCATCGTCTCGTTAAATATTACACGTATCAGATCAACTTCACGCCTTCATCAGCAGGTGCGAAAATTATTAACTTCCTATTATTCAGGTGAAATTTAATTATTCAATAATTGCAAGATCAAATGACAACTTATGTAAACAATATCACATTATGGTAAATAGACTTTTTTTTTTATTTCTGTATGTAAATAATAATATGTAATACCATCACTGATGTAGCCCGAGTATCAGCAGACCTTATAATCTTACTTTGTCGTTAAAGTCAACATAGACTAAGTCACGCCACCACAATTTAGACTTTGTACGTCGTAAGTTGATATTAAAATGAAGGCAAGTAGATGCTCCTGGTCGAGGAGAAATTATCTGATAAATAATCATAACTTTAATCTGTGTATTTTTGTCAAAGATAGTAAACTAAATATCTAACAAGGCCATGATTACATTTAAAAATGACGCACTCATACACGAAATTATTTTTAAAATGTAAATCCTAAACCACATGGCAACTGACGCTTTGGCGCCAAATAACACCAAAACCGCGGGAAACTTATCATGTGATCAACATTTACATCGCGGTTGTTAAAATACGACAGAAAAAATCAATACACAGTTCTCCCTCCCCCCAGACAAACTTAGCGTCTTTAAAAACGTTTCACAATACAACGGAAGCAAAGGATTGGAAGCTTGCGATGTTTCGCTACAGTAAACAGCTCTCATTGTAAACGTCTCCGAAACATAGCCACCCCCACGACGATAGCAAAATGATGTCATCAAGTGTCGAAACGTTCAAGGTCCCTTCGCCATCCGTTCATTAACAAAGAGTTTAAGCTCCAAAATGACGAAAATACATAACAAAAACAGCACAAATATAATCCTGGAGTTTGAAATAAACATATGAAAACACAATTAAGTTCAAATCGTCATTAAATTCCATAAATTAATGAAAATCTGTGACGAAAACACGTATCCCAAATTTCTGCTTTCGTTCCCGTCATACTATCACACATTCCGTTGGTGGAAATAGATTTCTATACTATCAGCCAATCAGGATCGTCGTAGTGAAACAGTTGATCAACACCAGCTGATTGACATTAAAACCCGCCCACTTATACCTCACCTCGTGGCTTTCGGCTCCGCCTACTTGGTTATAAATTCTCTACGGGCAAGCTGTGGATAACAGAATCGAGTTAGCTATCGGGATATACACACGTTGTTTATGTACGTCTGCGATATAAACAGTATTAGTGACACTCTTCCAGCCATGTCTACGGCTCTTGTCTCTGCATTTTATGATGTTAGGGAAGTTCTCTATCAGGTAAGTTGATTTTTTCAGTTGAAAGTTACGTTGTTATTTCATGTTGTCAGTTGTGCCTCGTTTGCCGTACGCGGTCGTAGTCTATGCCATGTGCTTAGTCTCGCCATTTTACTCATACGTGTTTTGATTATATTTACAGAACAGGAAAAATGACCAATTGAAAACACACTGTGTTATGGAGCGGAGAGCTACAATTGGCTCATCTTCAAACCTGACACAGAACAGGAATTTGTCGACCAACGGAGCTTTCATCCCTTTGAGTAAACCTCAGAGCATCCCTGTCACAGGGCACCCTACCACACTGATCTCAAATCTGAACAGGGACACTACCCAAGTCAGGGAACATAGAAAATTGGACAGGAGTATGAGTGAACCAGTTGGTGATAGAAACCTAAACAACCTCAACAGAAACAGAGTGCAGCAACAACAATCACAGGAACAACCACCTAACATTAATTCCAGTCGGTACAAGACTGAATTATGTCGACCATTCGAGGAAAGTGGACATTGTAAATACGGTGACAAGTGTCAATTCGCACATGGTGGTTTGGAGCTTCGTACTTTATCTCGTCACCCCAAGTACAAAACGGAATTATGTCGTACTTATCATACTATTGGGTTCTGTCCATACGGACCACGGTGTCATTTCATTCACAACGAGGAGGAGAGGAAACTTGCAATGGCTATGGAAGCACAGCAGCAGCAACAACAACAGAATAGCACAGCATCACAAGCCATGGTGAGTCGTCATTCTCCTCCACCCTCTGTGCCTTCACCTCAGCTCAAGAGACCATCTACTATCAATTTCAATTCTAGTTTCAATGGAAGTATGGGATCTACTGATTCAATTTCGACCCCGTCCAGTGCTAGCGAAAGTCCAAGTCTTAGTCCAACTTTGTTTACGGAGGAACTTTTACACGGACTTCAACATGTGCCTACCCACCACCATTCTAGTGCCTCGAGCAGTACCTCCAGTAGTCCTGTATTCAACTATTCATCGTCACCGGAGTTCAACTATCAATCTCTCATGACCCCTCTCAATGTTCAAACACAGGGGAACACGGACATGAATATGCTACAGCAACAATTCAACGCAATTTTGAACATTAGCCAGAATCAGCAGAACAATAACCAGTGTGTGTTCACAGAAATGGACTCGTTCGTTGCTCCCCCTTCTCCTCCGGACAGTATCTCCGGAGACAGTGTGGGCAGTGTCAGCAGCCTTAGTAGCAATGCCTCCAGTGGATTTACGAACACTTGTGGTACTGCCTTAGACATTAGCAAGTCTCTCCGTCTTCCCATCTTCAACAGGTTATCGCAAGATGACTGAACTTTGTGTTACCTTTTTGTGTTGGATAACATTCAAGTGTCAAAATTTGAATATATGGAGTTTTATTTTCAAAGCTGAATTAACTTGAAATCTCATCATTTTTATGTGCTTATAATTTTCAAATTCCAAGGAGGACATAACCTTGTTAAAAATGTGTACGTGTTGAAACAAAATGTTTATTACAGCGTTTTGTTTAATTATTGTAAACAAGAAAATGTTTGGGTTTCAAGTTCAGGGTGCTGAAAAAATAAATGTTGCAAGTGTGTATGACATAGCTGTATGTTTTGAGAGAGTTTGAAAGTATTACTTTTTTGTAATTTTATACAAATTTATTTATGTACGTGGTGTAAATTTATTAATATAAAAGTTCCATTCCTTTGTGAAAGTATTTATTTTGTAAAATTGAGAGCAGCAGGGCCAATAATATTATCACCTTTCAGGTGGTTATATAATTGAGGCATTGATTTTATTTGCATTGAGAGAGTTACGTGGTAACTTTCTGTACTTGGGACCCAAAATACATAGCAAAAAGCATTTGCAATGTATAATTCCATTTCTTATTCATTTTATTCAAAATTTTGAGTATAGACTAGAGCGCAAGTTCTAAATTACTATTTTAACAAGTGCCTTATTAAATTATTATTTTATTGACAACAGACTAAGCAGGTCGGACATTTTGTGCTACAAATAATGTTGATATACAGGCATATTTTTCCATCTATAAAAAATCCATTTCTTTTGACATAGCAATTTCATTGATAATACCAATTTATTTAATTTTTGTATCGAGTTATTTATTACAACTAAATCTATGCATTTGATTGTCACAAAAGATGTGTATGAAGTTGGGAGATCCCCTTTTACAAGCTAAGAGGTGGCTGTGTGAGAAATGTTACATTTTGTTTATATTTCGTTAAATTATGAAGACATCACCAAAGACATGGTTTACTATGTAATTCACATTTTTCAACTTTCATGGAATCCATAGTGTATAATATTCATCATTTTGTATTTATGGCAATTGCCCAAAATTGTTTGAATGCAAATTAAATTTTCAATGCTTTATAAAAAAAACTATTCTCTTTTCGTTTCTACATCAGACTGAAGGGTGGTCTAAAAAAATGCCCAAAAACTGATTTTCTCATTGCTTGGAGTATCTTGAACTTTAAATCTGAGTGATTTCACAAATGACCTTCACATTTTAAACAGTATTTTACGTGCACCAGACAGGTGTGCAATGTAATGTACTTTTCTTGAGCTAAGTGAAGATTGAATATTTAAATGTGGTAAACGACCAGTTTTAAGACAAGATACTTCAAGTTGAGAATTGGTGTGCAGGTGTTGACGAATAATTGTCAGTAGTCCAGGTAGAATTAGCTACCTGATGACAATATACTGGACTATTTCCAAGACTGGACAAATTCACCTAAATACGCTGTTTTAACGACTGAATGGGAGCATTTCAAATTTATTCCAACAGATATTTTTAATATCGGGAGTAAATGAAAGTGTATTTTTAGAGTCTAAATTACATATTACAGTTTATAGTAAATAGGGTCTGGTCCCGTTTCTATTAAAGAGGTCCGTTGAAAATACAATTCTGAAAATGGATATTTGAATAAGGTCTGTTTGGCCAGAAATATTTGAATAGCTTGGTTTGTACACTATCTAACCGACCCTCCAAGGTGAAGGTCATACGAGATAACATTTCAAATGCTCCACACGTTTAGACTATGCGAGATGCACATTAATTGATAAAGCCGACGAAACCAGAGCGATTGAAGAGGGCTATGGGTATTTCCTCTAAGTTTGAGTAATTGACTAAATTAGACTGATGAAGAAATCCATTTCAGCTAAGACTAATGCGGTCGAACTGTCACGAACGCCCCGCCAAGCTTACCTGTGCACGGATCTCGACACTGGATGACAGGGAGCAGTTGATTGATACACGTGGTCGCTACACAGATCTGTTTCACTGTGTCTAGTCTATATTTCTCTGTAGCGGTTAGGCATGAGTAAAGTCAACACATTGGCTCGTAAAATGGAAATTCGTTGAATTCTAAATTTAAATGTAGTTTGATATAATAGAATACGCGATAGGTTTTTAGAATAAATACACCAGACGTGTAACAAAGATATATTCAAATTGTAACTTTTTATAGATACATATAGACAAAATCTTAGATCTTTACAAGTTCGAATCGGCCTATGAATTTTACGCTTAAGCTTTGAAGAATATAACAAAAATTCCCATGCTGTATGGAACATTCACCAACATAGTTTAACATAAAATAACAATGTTGTCCAGACGTGGCTGGCCATTTACTGCGCTGTACCAAAGATGACGTATAACTCAACATTGTACACCGACAGTTGTGGTACACCGTGTGAAAATTAAACTTTTGTCAAAACAATGAATAGGTAGTCAAATTATGCAGATGGAAAATTCATAGCTGTTTATGAATATTTAGGTGCTGTTGAAATGGTGACAGGAGTTTTCTACTCCCTTTACTTCAAGAGAACAGAAGAGAGGAATATTGAATAGAAAAAAACCCGACACATTGGCTTTGACAGACAATATTGTGTTATGCACCATATTGTTTTGGATAGCTGTTTCTGGCTAGGAAAGGTCGATCTCAACAACATTCAAACGTTTGAGAAAAAATGTAGTGTTGTTGTTCATTACAAAAGAAACAGGAGTTTATGCTGACACAACGATAGATGTTACTCTGACAAACAAAAGAAACGTGTATTTACACTGACACAACGATAGACTATGAATTCCAAATAAATCACACATGTGTATTGATATAAATTATCTGATACCGACATCTTCCCAGTGGACAGTGTGTTCCTGTAATACTTTTAGTGAGTTCATCAATATCATTTCCGTGAAATACTGGCCAAGGTTTGAACCCCAATTTATGTACATATACCGGTTACCTCTTGTATATTATGTTGTTATAAAGCACAGACCGACAGGATGATTTGAATGAAATTTTAAATGCAGATATTGAGGAAATGTCACAACACACAGTAATTGTTTGGTGCACACATACTGGTACAGCAGAGAAGACCAAGAGAGATTATTATTCTGTAAATAGTGACTAATTTACTCTCCGTATCAACTTAATTTTGACTGTCTATAATAGGAATGTGTTAAGTGATAGAAACCACCCCTGTGCTAATCGGTACATTGTCGCATACTTAATTCATAAGTGTTCTGTTTATTTACATTTTATACAACATTCTCCAACAAGTTCAATATTTAAATGAAAAGAATGTTTGAACCTCATTGCGTCAACTCATCGAAAACTCTATATATGTAGTAAACATATGACGTAGTGACCTTGTTTACACAGAGCACTATTATCTCGGGAAACACATTAATCGTTGTGACGTCACGAACAGGTGCTCTTTTCAGCGAAGAGAAGGGGAAGGGAGACTACTCCGTGCAAACTCTGGGTGGCAGCATTCCTACTGGTGAAGATTACTACACGGATTTTGCATATGGCAAACTATTACGACGGCGATTTCTCGGGTTCACAATCAATATCATTGACTACTAACAAGGTTTATTGCTGTAACAGAACGACATTAACCGATTTAAAGTTATATTTTCTATTAAATATTAGTAAGATTTTTATTTACTTTATCCAGTAAACATGGCCGAGGTTATTGGGTCTTTTTTTATTGATATTGATAAACAATACACGATCCATGAATACCTGAAGGTACATGATTAAGAAATGGTAAGCTAAGAAAGGAAACACCATTCTTTTACATATGACCATTTTAAAACATAAGAAACACTGCAACCCTTCTAACTAATATTTCAAAGCCGATGACATAGTGTAATTAACACTGATTGTTTAATCAAAGTCCTCCGTTCCCGGTGAACAGAAATCTCAAGTCACTATATCTCAGCTTTCTAACACACGTGCTTCCATATGTTAAACTATATGCCTATCCTAAGACATGAAATTCAACACAGTTGATAAGTAGAAACCCCCCTTCCCTCTTTTTTTTTCTGGCCCTGACCTTTGTGAACTTAGATGTGAAGTTTGTTTTCGAATGCATTGGGACAAAAACGTAATACCACTGTATATTTTTGTGACGAATGTAGGACTACCTAGGTAATTAGAAGTTTGATGGAGTAGTTATGTCTTGTACTCTTACCTATAAAAAACACCTGTGTTCTGTTTCATGTGTTGAAAGAGTGACGTAGGAATGATGTACGATCTACCTGTTCCGGTCATCCGTCTCAATGTATTAGTATCTGTAAAGGGGATTGCTTGGCGACCTGTACGACTAAGATACGCTGATCTGTACAGTTAGAATTAGATCATACCGATCTGCCAAAATGTATTCATCGGATCTTTTGTTTTATCTTCTGTTCATATTCGTCTTTCTTCTTATTTTAGTAGTTTGACGTCAGTTGCTACTAACTGATGAAATATTAGTCATTTGTCCCGAGTGTCTTTCGTCGTGAATGTCTGATTCATATGTAGGAGTTAAAAAAAAACAACATATTTTAAGGGCGTGTATTGACGTCATTGTGTTAGAGAAACGGGTACACTCACCCACATACCTTAAAAAGGAAGTATGCATATCATATGATATATTGTTAATATCTTATTAAATATTTAATGATAATAATTACTATCATAAAATACAAGTACATGTATGTGATAGAATTAGATATCATTGTGTTTCTTGGCTGGGGATAGAAATACACCACTAATGTTCGTGTTAACAGGAAGTAGATCAGTACATTAGGGCCTTAATAAGAAAATAAATGACGAATATTTGCCCAAAGTTCATTTCTAGTTTTCTTCTGACTCTAGTAGTACAGAAGATTAAAAAAAACCCTCACATTTCTAAATGCATGAAAATACTCGATACATGTGCATTATCACATATAACAAAATTGACATGATTCTATTGTATCATATAAACATGCACCAGTATACAATATCATACAATTCTATTTTATGTATACTTATATACTTATATGTATATGCATACTTTGGGATGGTTTTTTTTGTAACATATGTACACAATTTTCCACAATACCACATGCGCTTGGCTTTGTTTTGATAGCAACAATACTGTCACAGTTGGGTTATTCCTAATCTCGTGATTATTGTCATTTCTCTGACGTTGTGCAGGTTCGTTATATATTGATATGAAAATATTTATTGCCGACAGTAACAATATAGCCGAGAAAGAATAGGCCCCTAGGGCTGTTGTTAACTGACACAGTTAACTTACCAACAATTCTCGTCGTGTAATTTATGGCGCTGACACTGAAGTGCACCGTGATATGGACATGAACAACGTCTTTCCTGAGCTGTTTCGAATGATCACTCGCCGATTAAAAAAAAAACCAACATCTTCTGTCTGTGTTTTATTTTTCTTGTAGCTTTATATTGTAACAGCATGCATTTGACATATAACGACAACTGCAGGTCAAACGACGAAATGGCGATAAATATGTTGCATGTAACCAAGCACATTGATCAAAAGACAACTGGAATACGTAACATGGTTACATAGATAACACATACTTATATAAACAAAAAACAAACAAACAAAAAAAAAAAAAAAACAAAGTTGTGACACGTATACGTCACATGACGTGTCATAGACCACAGCGATATGTAAACGTCACAAGACATGACATAGATAACGGTTACATGTATGCGTCACACAATATGTCATAGATGATCTCATGACATGTATGCGTCACACAATGTGTCATAGATGATATGATGACATGTATACGTCACTAAACGTATCATAGAACACCTGGCGACATATATACGCCACATGACGTGTCATAAATCACTTGACGACATGTAAACGTTACATCAAGTGTCATATATTCCCTATATGTCACACAATGTATAGGTAGAACAACAAGACTCTTCCCCTAGACACATATATTTTACGCTATATGTAAAATTAATAGTATGAAAGTTAAGAACTTCAGAACGAGGCGAGGCATAATCATTCTCCGTCGACTCAATAAAAAAAGCAATTTTGGGGATGTAAATATTAAAATT